GTTCCCCCTGTGCACATGTGGGTTCTCTCCAGGTACTCTGGCTTCCTTCCACAGTCCAAACTCATAACTGGTAGGTTGATTGGTGGCTCTAAATTGCCCTAAAAAGAGACTGTGTGTGTGCGTGAACTGCTTAGAGAATACCCTATCTTTCGTCCAATGGCTGCTGGAGGTAGGCTTCAGCTCCCGATAACTCTGACAGACAAGTGGTAGAAGATGGAAGGATGATATTAGTTTAACAGGAAGTTGAGTTAAATTGGTAATAGACGATTAACGATGAGCAAAACCGCCCTAAAGCCCCCTCTCTGTCATGTTTAAAAACTGGCAATGGGTAACCCTGTGTCAGCCTGCTATTGTTGTATTCTAAGCTTATGTATTTCTTGCACCTGCATAGTTTTCAAGTGACGTTTGAATTACAACAGGGTTTACAGTATAAACCCTGTTGTATATATATATATATATATATATATATATATATATATATATATATATATATATATATATATATATATATGAGTTCGACTGCCGGCATGGACATCGAGGTGGATCCTTAGCCAAGGTCCTTAGTGCTTAGTGGCCTACCTCAGGTATGAGTGAAACCGCAAATACAAGAGCCATACTGGGTCGGCGACGGGAACTACTGCCACTATACAAGCAACCCCAGTGAGAAAGGTTACATGCAGAGATTATTGGATATATGGATGCTTCAGAAACATCCTACAACAGGACAATGACCCTAAACACACCTCCAAATTGTGCAAGAACTATTTAGAGCAGAAGCAGGCAGCTGGTATTCTACCGGTAATGGGGTGGCCAGCGCAGTCACCAGATCTGAACCCCATTGAGCTGTTGTGGGAGCAGCTTGACCGTATGGTACGCAAGAAGTGCCCACCCAACCAATCCAACTTGTGGGAGCTGCTTCTGGAAGCGTGGGGTGCAATTTCTCCAGATTACCTCAACAAATTAACAGCTAGAATGCCAAAGGTCTACAATGCTGTAATTGCTGCAAATGGAGGATTCAACACAAATCCTTCGCCATCTTTACCGTCGACATGCTGCCACCATGTCCTAAATTCCTCGTTTTTGCAGACATTTTTGTTGAAATTTGCATTTTCATTCCCTAGCTTTTTCTCCGCCACCAGTTTCTTTTCCGAACATATGGCTTTACAATCAACTGAAAGCAGTTCCACGCAAACATGCGGACCCAGTTATATCTGACGAAATTGTATAATTCTTTTTTTGTTAATAAAGCATTTTAAATACCACTGTAATCACATTTTATGAATTTTAAGGCCTTAATTTAGAAAATAATTATTTGACCCTTTGCTGCTAATGACCCACGGAAACCCTGTACAAGATGAATGAGCTCTTTTATGACTTCCTAGACAGGATGTCCCTCGTTGTTATCTATACAGATTGATATTAAAACAAAAAAAACCCTGGCTAAAGTTGACCTACACCCTGCTCCCTGAAGCATGATTTGCAGCCTGCTATAAATTATTGGGATCTTGACTATGTCTTTATAATAAGCACAATGACCGGACAAATAGCAAACATCCTAAAGATAAATAAGAAAGCTCATCAGAGAGTTTGGAGGGCTCTTCGTTGTTTACACATTAAAAAATATATTAAATAAGATATTAAACTGCTTATTAGACACATAAAAAGAGGAAACATTGCCTGAATGCAGTATTATGCTGAGATTAATTAAAGTTTTGCACATTAGTGTAAATACTTGCACCAACTCGCACCTCAGGGCTTCTTGTTTGCCATCTCTGTTGCACTTAATTCACTGGTCTCCTCCCAGCATGTTTCAGACAAGCTTGAGTCAAAACAGAAGGTTAGAGCTCAGGATGCTGCATCTTTATTACCACTCTATGACTTTTATATTTCTCCAGCTGCCTGCAGACCTAAACACAGGCCTGAGGCTGCAGGCGCTCCGTACTCCTTCTTCTCAGCTGGAACAGAGAAGGGGCTTAAAGGTAGCGATTGAACCTTTAACAATCCCAGAACGGCTTCAGCAGGTTTAAAACACTCATGAAACAAAATAAAACTAGCCTGGGATTTTATGAGAGTGGAGCGATGTGGGCAGAGGGGATGTGTTTATTACTGGGGTGTGGACACAAGAGCGAGGAGGAAAATGATTTAATTTTTATGAGCCACTGAGGTCTTTATGGTGAATTTAACCCCGAGGGTCTCTCACAGAGGTTGATGTCTTGGCTTCTGCAAGTTCAGGGTGGAGATGAGCAACTATCAGGCGCAGCGAATATACAAAGACCTCTTTATCAGTCGCCAAACACTCTCCTTCTGTCTCAGCAGAGTCTCTATCACAACTGCCTGGCCTGCGTGCATCTCACACAACACACACTCAGGCTACAAATTATTCAAGTGAGGGCTCTGTCTTCTGTTTGGGAGCATTAATAGAAAAAGTGGAGGGAAGGGCAGACAGAGAGGAAGAGTGTTAGAAGAGAGTCAGGAGGGGGATGCAGATGAACAGAGGAGCTGCTGTAAAGTGCTCTGATTAGAAGGAGTAATTATACTGCAGCGGTGGAGGCACTGAATGCATGGATAGGTTCCATCTCTGCACTAGCCGGTCCACTTGAGGGCCACTGTGGGAAGAGATGGGAGGAGGGAAGGAGGTGATGGACTCTTTAATAAAGAGAAGTCTGGAGTTATCTGTGTTTTCAATCTCGTCTTCTCCTCAGCACAAACACTTCAACACAGGCAGAAAACTTCCCAATGTGACCCAACTGAAACTGAACAGCATCAAAGGTTTCTGAGACCTCCACCGAAAGACTCAAGCGCTTTTCCAATAGCAGATCAGAAAGGTTCACATGTGTGCGACACCCGGAGCTTAATGAAAAATGTAACAGTTAAATTACACTTGGCAGCAGGAAGAGCACACACGTTTCTGTGTCATGTTGGCCCGCTGTCAGATGAATTGAGTCTGAACGCTCCAGAAGAGTTTAAAGCTTGTATGACTGAGCATGTGCATGTCCTAAAGTCTGTTTGTGTGAGTGTGTGTGCACTCATAGAGGTCACTCAGCGAAACCTGAGCACGAGCAGAAGAAATCCCAGCACTCATATCGACCCCTTCACCGTAGAATACCAGCACAGCACATATGCTGCAGCTCTTCATCTGTTTTCATCTCTGCTCCATTCTCTTTCTCCACCGCTGTCCCTGCGTTGTGTAATTCACACTTGATAACAGCTGGATACCAAGTGGGGATTTGGGGGGGGTGTGAACACACACCGTGGCTTCTTTTCTACAAGATGTGCAAAGATTAAGAAAGACTCCGGGTTGAGATTAGAAATACTTTTCAAGTGTTAAAATGGATTCAGAGGCAGGAAGCGAGTCCTAACCTATTTTTGTTTTGTTGTTAGAGGAAAAATACCTCTATCAAGGACCACCATGAAAGTTTGGTAGCACAGTCTCACCATGTGTGTCTGCAGCCATTATCCCCACAGGAACACACTCACTATGTAACAGGACTTTCCTTCCATAAGGTCACTTATGATGCGATCTCTAGCATCTACCATTATGGCAGCTATCATACCATCACCGTGGATGGGAGGGTCAAAGTTGAGCTGCTTGGGTGGGCCCTAAAAGGACAGTAAAAGGCTGCATTGTTGCTAATGTACATAAATGTTTCGTGAGGTAGGGTCTAAATCTGAAGGCATGCAACATAAAATGCAGTGAGGAGTGAATTAAAGGCTACAAATATTAGGAAAGTATATTTTTTCTTCCTGTACCTCGTGTAAATTTCCAGCTCTTATCTATCAACACCCCATTTCTCAACCACCATTTAGTGCTATTACAGTCAATTAAAACTGGAATTTAAACCATTTATGGGGCACTTTGCACATCAACCATAAAGTGTGGAAAGATTTTCAACAAGCTTGTGTGCCTCATATTCTCCATGAAACTTTCAGCAAATTAGGAGTTTTTTTATTTATTTAATATTTATTTCATGTGTATAAAAATAAGTATATGTGTATATACGTTTTTTTCTTTTATCCAAGAAACCAGCTCTGCCACCCAAGAAAAAGCTGAGGTCAATTTCACACCTCCTCTGAACCATGTGAAATTACAGCTTTCTGGGTTCAAGATCCACCTTTATTACTGCACACAAAAAGCTTGCCGCTGTTTTTGTGGGCATGCGGGTTATTGATTGTTTCTGTGTTGACACTGCTGCAGTCTTTGACCTTTTAATGCTAAAACTTTCAACTTCCTGCTGACCAAGCCCGACCTTTAACCACACATGTTCACACAGACGCATGTGGAGGTCGCCCCTGGTGGCTCCAAGTGTGATTGAGAATTATATGAGGCTTCCAACACCGACCCGAAGCAACTTAGAGCACTGTGTGGGCTGGAGACTTTATGTGTATTTTGGCCCAGTTAGCCTAGCATGTGTTAAAAAACAAACCGCCTTATCAGTTAAGCCTATTCAGGCTTGTTGTAACAAACACTAACATTCAACAGTTAAACAACAGGAAACCTTTTTATTTTCCTGCTTTACCTAAACTCAGACTTGATGCAAACATGCTGCTTTCCATCTTTACAAAATAAAACACCAACAAACTGGAAAACTAACAGTTCTTTATAGCTAGAAAGAATAGTTCTGTTTGTGTTGCATGATGTGATATTATTTGGATTTTTCTCTACATCCAGAAGCATGTGGAAGCGCATTGCTGATTCAGCGATACAAGGAGAAATGCAAGAATGAGATCACAGGGTTGCATCTTAAAATATAAATCAATAAACGAATGAGGTAGTCTTTCAGACATCTCCTTAAAAAGAATGGATTCAAAAGATCCAACTCACTTAAAAAGAGTCATAAAACATCACTTTTACCCCAAATAATAAGATTTGAATCACTTCTAAACCTTAAAAACCTGCTAAAGCAATGCAATTGTATATGAAGTCACTAACTGTAAGTTTTGGAAAGAAGAAATCAAGCAGCTAGTACTTAGAGAGTGACATGACTCTGTGGTAGACTTACTGTGACAGACAGAGTCACTGAACGGCGTGCACTCAGACACCAGAGTCTCGATATCTTCCTCACAGATGGTACAGGGTAGACAAGGTTCCAGGTGGCTTTCCCGGTCAGAATAGGTCTCATCCACACATTCCTCACACACTGTGTCATGGTAAGCAGAACACTGAGAGAAAACACCCTGTCCCAGTGGGCACACAGTGCATGGCTCACAATTTCCAGAGACACTGCTGAAGTAGAAGTTGTAAGCGCAGACACATTCGGCATTATTGGAGTCAGTGCAGGGCGTATGCATCCGCATCAGTCCGGTACACTGGGTGCATGGTTTGCACTTCTCTGTGAGGCTGTAGTTCTCTGAGTAGGTTTCACCTGCAGATCAAAGGAAAAGTAAAAAGAGACTGTCAGAGGGTAGGGGAGATGTAGAAAAGAGTAAAGAGAGCAAATGAAACATGAGAAGATAAAACTGAGATAAATAGTGAATCTAATGGCATTAATCATGTTTACTGGACATTCATTACGAGGAAGTACACATTGATCTGCTGGGTTCTCCATAATTTGTGCTCCAGGACAAGAAAGGTGCTCTTATCGGATAGCGAGTCAAAAGCCTGCGGTGCTCATTATGAAATCGATCTGAATGTGTTTGTGCTGCGTTGAGTAAATGTCTACAGTCTTAGTTATAAACAACAAACAAAACCGAGTATATATGCATAATAATTCAGATTTACAATCAGGAATTAAACATGCCTCAAGTTCCCAATCCCAATCCTCTAATCCCAGGGTATAAATAAATTTGAGTCTAAGTCTAAGTAAGACACTCTAAACATGTGAATGCGTCTTTGTGCATACCTTAATAATTTTGCTATCAACCAACTTTCAAAATGTTGTTTTAAACATGTAAAAAAATACCAAAACATAAAAGGCCCAATTTAAGCCAAATGTCCCAAAATATTTACTTCATAAGCAAGAAAACATTAGCAAATCATACATACAGTATGGCTATGAGGAACTATTTCATTAGAAAATGCCAAAATTTGCTGCACTGATAGAAAGTTAGATTTAGTAAAACAATGGATATGCAACTAATTCTCTACCAAACATTTTTTGGCAGCAGTAATTTTCACCAAAATAGTTTTTTAGAGAAGCAGAAGTCAGAGGTAAAAAATATACTTTAAATCATCTGATACAGAATCAGTTCATATTTCTATTTGGTGCCATTTCAGTATGGCACCGAAGTTTTATGTAAGAAGCCACTCCTGAATAGCCTTTACTTTTTTGGCATTTAAACTAAAATTTTGTGTATGGCTTGACTGGTAGTAAGCAAAAAGTACTAAATAATAATTTATCCCATAGAGAACCTGAATGGATAACTCTTAAAATATTAGCTAACTGTTATTCCACTATTCTTGGTGATTTGCATATTGAGTGTATGGCAACTACATATACTGTATACTGAGCGACTATAACTGTCTTTTTATTCTTGATGGAAGCTGCTGCTAGCAGAGTAACGAGATCATTCTCTGAATTTGGTGCATTTTGTGTTTACTTTAAAAAAATTACATAAAGTAAACCACAAAAATGAGTTGCTGAGGCATAGAGGTCAGCCAAATTAGCATGTCCCCACTGACACAGGTTTTTTTCTCTGAATAAAAAACCAATAAAAAAAGCCAGTAACTTATTGTGCTGATATATAGACAAAAACTTTGACCTAAATAAAAGAAATATAAGAAAAAAAAATACATGAATTATTTATGAAGTAGGACTTTTTAATCCTGCCCCCCAGTTATGTTCAACCCCGTAACAGCACACCCATCCCCTTCTTTTAAAAAATAATGGTTCAGTTCACTTCCTCACCACTCAAACTGTGTTGGGAGTGTTGGCGTGCTTTTTTTTGTTGTGCATTTGTTAAGGTGTCCAAAAAAAACTAGCAGGAAGAAAATACTGTGGCCAACAGGTGCACAAGCACAGGAAATGGTGAAATGAGCTGCAAACACACATGTGATGCAAATGTTAAAACTCACATACACAAAAAAGAAATGCAGCAGCAATACACTGTAAACAAAAATGCTGCAATCACTCAAAATGGAAGCAAAAATCTACAAAACATACAACAACAAACTTGTGCCAAAATTAATTTAGAATCAGGAGAGTAAGGTAATTTAAAAACAGCTTGAGAATTTCTTTGATTATGTTTAAGGTGAATATTTATACAGGAAATACGGGGTGGAATCTAAAACAACCTAAGTTCCTGACAATGTTTGGAACCATTACTAGATGGAAAGACCTGTTACCCTGTAGGGACTATAAATATCTGCACAAAATGTCACCCATACATTTACTCTCCTCTCCTGGTGACTAAAATAAAAAGAATTGACCATTTCTACAAAATACCTTTAGTCTAAAGCACATCTTCTTTACTCCTGATATCAATGAAGACTAGGAGCAATAAGGACTCAGCTGAGATGTGAAAAACCATGATGAACAGAAAAAGGTAAAAGCTGTTGCGACTAATTGCCTGCTGCTTTTCAATTACTTCACTCACTTCAAATCTGCTCTCCAGGAACATTTGGTGTCAGGAGGATTTAGGAGAGTCCATCACTGAGGAAGTGGTGACCTCAAGTTTGCTTAGACCTACTCTGACGAGTACCTCAGGGCACTGCATATTCTATTAATATAACATGTTCATATAGAATTGTTTTCAGATATAATTGGATGCCTGTTGAATTATGCATACAGTGAGATAGAGTGTTTATTGTCCGTATGAGCCTGTTATATTGGTAGATTTAGATGCAAGGAAAGGAGAGAGATTTAAAAAAAAACCTGCAGGCCAGATTCATTACACGAGAAGCATCACTTTACTTTCTCTGTCACATGCTTAACATGAGAGCGGTCACCTTGTAAAAACTATGGTTCAGAGGAAAAGTGTTGAACACTTTGATCCCAGAGAAGACACAAGCAGCTGGAGGTTCAGAATAAAAGTTGTGACACCATGAGACAGGAATGAAAGCTGCTTTTCAAACTGTTTAATTAACAGCAGGGTTTCATGTTTGAAGTTACAAAACAAGGACTCTGCAAAGTTTACTCTGGTTAAAATCTCATTGTTTTGTTCTGCAGTGGAATAAATCATCGAGATTTACTGAACCACAAATGAAGCCACATGTCTGCGCTTGACATGTGGGACATTTTCACAACTCTTATCTGCCTTTCCATATGTTCCAGTTTCTGGTTTTCTTTCTCTCTTTTTTTTCATGAGAACTGCTTAGGGGTTGTTGTGTTGTGCAACCATGTTATGTCAGTGTGAAAATCCCTGCAGCAATGTCCCAGCACTCTGCTGTTTCATTGTTAACTTCTCCGTCAATTCAAAAATTGGCAGCGACTGAAGTTTTAAACACCTTGTAAACAGCGGTACATCCTAGCCCTGTCACATTATGTAGGCAGACTCAGAGGAGCAGATGGGGGTAATGATACAGAGGCAGGTAGGGAGCAGAGAGGACGACACGCCAGCAACCGCTAGATTTGCACGAATGAATCTCGGGGCAGCTTGACGCAACATAATCAGAAACAGTCTCTGAGGGTGGTCTGGCGCTCTAAGTCCAAACCTAATCTAAAAAACATAATTCAGTGATCAAACTGCTGACGGCTGCAGGAGGAAGGGTCAGGAAAAATAGATTACATGGAGATTTCTTTAAGTTCTGTTTCACTCTCTGATGTGCTATCAAATATAGTATTTTGTTTTTGTTGTCACCTTTTGCTCCCATTACAATCAGGAGGCAGGAGGGGAGCGACAGTGACGGAACGATCCAGACCCAGATAAACAACAGGCCTCCAAGGTAAACGATTATTTGAATTAGTTGAGCTTGAAAGCTTTTGTTTTCTTTGCAGTGAAGCTGAACCAGTAAAGTTCCCTTTCTCATTCATATCAATTATCCCACAGTATGCGGGCTGCTTCCTCGCTCATTTTAACTTGCATGCATTAGCTTCCCTTCACAGTGCCTGCATGTAAACATTCATAAATGTGACCATATGAAGTCATAAAGGAGGTGTGTGAACCCAATTTATGCATCAGCGCTTTAATCCGGACCTAAAAGAAGGATGTTAAAGGCCATCAAGATACAAGAGCGGACTGCCTTCTTAAATAAAATATAAGATTTTTCTAATTGTCCACAGCTGGGTGATGAACCAAGCTGCCCAGCTTTTAAAGTTTTCATGTTTTATGATAAAGTCAGATGTTGCTGTGTGTGGGAAGCATGTTGCATTCAAAATGTCCCACTTCTTCCCCTCCTCCACTGCTACTCTTCTCTTCGAGCGCTGGTGTTTTTTGGTCCCATTAGTGTCATTAATAATGTAGCGGTGGATGGCCTTGAAACTGCTCCATGATCTTCACAATCAGCTCTTTTGAGTGGAAGCTTTTAGTGACGCCGGACGTTTCTGCCAGTCCACAAAATGTCAGGGTACGTGTTTTAAAGGGGTGTCAACGTTTCCTTCCCATATGAACTGCTGACCTTTTGCTTAGAGAGGATAAATGATCAACATTTACAAAACTGTTTGACATCCTACTTTGTCTTTTTAAACTTTTCTATGGGTGACTCCATTGGTGGACTCATTCCAGATTAAACACAGGTGTTTTTTCATATTCCCAAACTAATCAAACGGAAAGTGAAGACTTTAGATTCTTACAAATGTATTCATTTTAAGAAGGCTACACTAAAATAATACAATACTTTTTGCTAAATGTAAGCCTGTCTTTGCTACTTAGTTTTTGCTAGCATTGGTTACTCTTCTTTTATTTTGGAAAACAACTTATAAGCTGTTATTATCTCTGTATATGAATATGAAGGTATGGCATAAGTTTTCAACCCCTTCATCGTTGATTAGGCCTTTTAATTTAAAGTACGTAGTACATAGTGGCGCTGCTTTATGTTTAAAGAGTCACTGCTCCTAGAAATTGGTTATCGGAAACAGTCAGTTTTCTATTTTGTTGACCCTGATCATTGAGCAGTTGGATGCAAACTCAAATATTTGATTTTAACCTTGAGCTTTCAGTAACTACAATGCAGTGATTTTTTGGGAAAGGCAAAATTCTTCAGTTCAAAGTCTGACTGACTAAAGTACAAATAGTTCAAGTTTTTTTGGGGGGGGTGGGTTTGTGTCAGTAAGTTTCTTAATTTATATGAAATGATGCATGTTGATAAATAAAAATAATTCAAATGGCACTGCATTTTATGCCACGTGTATGCAGGCTGCAAAACACTGAGAGAGCAAGACTTCTGGTTGAAAAAGAAAACAATAACGTGTTTTATCGTCTTGAGCTGATATCCTGTCATGAAACAAGCTGGGTTTGAAAACGTTTCCATCTTTTTAGGGCTATATTT